GGCAGCCCTCTGCAATGCCCAGTCACTCCTTCTGTGAGGAGCTTTTTCCTCATGTCCAGCCTAAACCTCTCCCTGTGCAGCTTAGGGCTGTCCCCTCTTGTCGTGTCACTGTCCCCGGGGCACAGAGCCACCCCCACCAGCGTCAGGCAGCTGTGGCAGCAGCCCTAGCTGATCTGAACTGACCACTGCAGGAGCTTCCGAGGCATCACCAACGAAGACTCCATCATGAGAGAGATCAACCTGCTGGCAGCCATCCTGGAGAGCCCCGAGCTGTGCCTGCGGGACACGTTCATCATCGCCGGCTACACCAACCCGGCGGCCGCCAACCGCCACAACGAGATCTGGTTCCTGCAGCGGCCCTGAGCCCCTGCTGCTGCCCCACAGACCCTCCTGAGCCCTCCTGCTGCCCCACAGACCCTCCTCCTGATGCCCCATGGAGCCTCCTCCTCCTCCTGCTGCCCCATGGAGCCTCCTCCTCCTCCTGCTGCCCCAGGGAGCCTCCTCCTGCTCCTGCTGCTGCCCACAGAGCCTCCTGCTGCCCCACGGAGCCTCCTCCTCCTCCTGCTGCCCCCACAGAGCCTCCTGCTGCCCCATGGAGCCTCCTCCTCCTCCTGCTGCCCCATGGAGCCTCCTCCTGCTGCCCCACGGAGCCTCCTCCTCCTCCTGCTGCCCCAGGGAGCCTCGTCCCTCCCGCAGGTGACGCGGGGCAGCCCAGGTGTCCCCCCTCACAGGTCAGCACTGGGGCTCTCAGCTGGGTTAGGAACAGCCAGCCCAGCTCAGCTCCCCAGCCACAGATCCCTACAGCAACTCTGACAGCTTTCACACAGATTTAATGGAGGGTTTTAGCACTTTAAGAGTTAGTTCACCTTTTGTATTTTATTGACCAGGTAAGGGAGGCAGAGACCTCTTCCCTTACGTATCCCTGGCCTGCCTGTGGCTCGGGATGGGGACATCCTGGAGCCCTGGCCTGCTCTGGTGCTGCACAAAGAGGCTGCTGGGGCTTCCAGTGTGACACACCAAACCCACCTCACACAGGCACAGAAAGAATGTGCAGGGCTCAGTTCCTGAGGAGAACTACCAGATTTAGCCCACTGGGATTAGAGCACGGAGTAAGAACAGGCCAATGCTGACAGCTGTCAGCAATTGATCCCCAAAGCTTACCTCACAAAGCTCCCAACCAAAACACCCCAAGTCTGGAGAGAGACCAAAAAGGCACACAGTCCTACTGCTCATTCAAGAGCTAACGGCAAAATTACAGGTTATCCTCATCACACACCCCCAGGAATCCCATGACTGGCTCTGGCATTCCTAAGGAGACACTGGCTATTTTTAACTACAGTTTTCTGAACAGTTTATTCTCACAGCTTTGCTGGGTGTTAAAGCACTGCAGCTGGAGTAAATTGTTCAGTACTTCTGGCTGTTAATGGCACAAATGACACAAATATCCACAGAGAACTTCTCAGCTGGGAGTGACCTGGGGCAGACACCTCTGCTGGGAGCAGGGCTGCTGCTCCAGGCTGGGTCTGAGCATCCCCAGGGACAGGGAGCCCACAGCCCCTCTGGCCCTGTCCCAGCACCTGACCACCCTCACTGTGAGAGTTTTTAGTCCCTAATATTAATTAGTTGTTTGTTTTGCCCTTCATCCCTGTGATACGCCCTCAGCTGCCTCTGCAGAGGCTGAGCTCCCACATTCCAGAACCCCCAGAATGTCTGGGAGCAGCATTCCCACTGTTCCACACAGCCCAAGAGCACCTACTGCACTTTAGAGTCAGGGTAGCAAACAATTTTGCTCTTCAAAATCCCTCCCTAATGTCTCCCCTTACTGACAGGATGGTAGAGTTTATTCTTAATAGAAGTAGATGTCTTTTTATATAAAAGTCACTGAGTACATCACCAGCATTATTTATTGGTTACAGGATTTAGGGTTCCAACAGAACCTCTGTGCTTTTTAACTCCAACACACAGAGCAGCAACCAGAGCCAGTGGCTGCTAACTCAGAGCAGGGTGAAAAAACAGCTCCAAAAATGGATTTGTGGAGGACTTCTGAAAGAACCCGAAGGCTCCTGGTCCCACAGGGAGGGAGGGAGGGCTCTGTGCTCAGCCCAAAACCTCTCCCTGAGCAGCAGGATCAGAGTGGCCCTGGCTTAAGCAGGGCCAAGGTGCCCTCTGGTGCCTGCTGGGCACAGAGATTCCTTGGGAAGCAGCAGGGAGAGGGGGAAAAGGAAACAGAACATAAAAAAAGAGACAAAAGCCTTAGTTTTAACACAAAAAACCAAGAGTCTTTATGGAGAGGGAGAAAAACCCCAAACAAACTAAAATGCAATACAGTGTCCCAGCCTGGGAAAAGAAAAATTAGAAATGCCAGCCAGTATTAAACTAAAAGCTCTTAATTAAAGGAAAAACAGTGAAAATATTTTTAAAACTGAGTTGAATAGAGGGCCCAGGGAGGCATTAAATAAAAGGTTTTGTTCTCATATCATCCCCCAGATTTTTATAAGAGCACATAAAAGTAATTTTCACCTCTGACAGGATTTTGTGGCAAATTAAAGACATTTCTGCCATCTGATTGCTTTTGCCAGTGAGGGAAATTCTCATTATGCTTTGGCACAACAGATGTTGGATAGCTCCTGGAAGCAGTGAAATCCTCTCACCACAGAGCACCAGTTTGTACATAATTCACATTTTAAACCTCTCCTGCAAAAGCATCTGCTGTGTCTGATGTCCCTGCCAATCCTCCTGTGGCTCAGCTCCCCGTGGTGACGTTCTAGAAACGTCCCTGAAGCACAAGCAGATCTGTCTGAGTGTGCTGACACCCCACCTGCAGCCCAGCATTCCCTGCCCTTTTTGGCAAACTGTGAATCCCAAGATAGTATTTATTTATTTTGACTTCTGTTAGATGGCTTCTGCTGCTGAGAAAAAAAAAAAAAAAAAAACCCCAAAAAAAACAAAAAAAAAAAAAAAAAAACCTAAACAACAAAAACCACCAAAAAAACAAACAAACCAACCCAAAAAACAAACTACTTCAGCTCCAGTTTGGAGATCCACTTTATGGCTTGGTACCAACAGCTGTCACTGGCCCTCAGGAGCACAGGGGCCAACAGCTCCAGTGTTTAACTGACACAAAATACAGTTTATTTAGTTGTTACACCAGTGAATGCCAAGCACACATCACTGTTACTCAGATCTGACAGCACCATGTCAGGCATGACTGCCTAGAACAGGTATTTTGTTATCCATCCGTGGTTCTGCTTTGGGAGCCACTCCTGGATTGTCAGTTTTAATGTGTTAGCTTCCCACTCATGAAAGGAGATAATAAATCAGCATTCACCCCTATTTTTGGAAGATTAAATGACGTAGCCTTAACAGATAAGTGTTGTCCTGCATACTGTGTATTTTCCAAACCAGAGTTAGTGCCTAAAAAGTTGATTCCAGCTATTGTGATACTCAGGGCCTTGCTTATTGTACGTAAAGACATCTCCACAGAGTTCCTCTGGCATTGTTGTGCTGTGCTGTCTGACACTGTCCTTTGCTCACACTGAAATGTTGTCTTGTTTACTGTCTGGCACAATTAAAGAATGATTTACTGTGCACAGGACACCTGGCTCTCATTCTTGCAGCACACACAGGGGCTTTTGCTCTCCTGCCTCGGGACGCCGCTCCTGTTTTACAAAATCCATTTAAGCCCCAAATCTGAAACGGTCACCTCAAGCCCCAGAAGCTGAGGAGCCACTTCCCCAAGTGCTGAGGCCTCCAGAAGTGAGGCTTGGCCTTGGCATGCTCTGCAAACCTTCCCTGCAGCCCTGGCTGTTACTAGAAGTTGTGTTCTCCAGGAAAGCAGCAGCACTTGAAATGCAAATCCAGAGCAGAGGAAGGAAACAAAGCACTGCAGCCACAGGCAAGGTGGTGGAGCCAAACCAAGGTGCTCACCACAGCTTAACCCCCAAAACAAAGCCCTGCACTCCACAGAGCCCTCAGAGGCACCTGCAGTGATGCAAAACTACTTGAAAGTTTCTCTTCATCACTGGGAGTTCCTCATTTACACATCCTCAGGTCACTGGGTTGCAAACAGCTGATGCACTCACAAGTTTGCCTTCCAGTGCTCTTCACAAAGCTACACCAAAACCAATCAATTTAACCAAATTCCCAGAATGACCAGGCTGGGAGAGACCTTCAGTATCAATCCAAGCCAGCCCCAACAGCTCAGCTGAACCCTGGCACACATTGCCACATCCAGGCTTTGTTAAACACATATGTTTAAACTGTTGGCTCTGAGGCCAACAGTCTGATATATAGCTTAATCCTAACTTTTTATGCCTCTAAACAAAAAAAGAGCAGATATTTTACACCTTCCAGAGTGGTGTTTTATGTAACATCATTTGCCAACAAGTATCTTACTGGGAAGGCACAGATCACTAAGTTAGAACTGACTGACAAACAGCTCTGGGCCCCAAAAATCTCTCTTACATTTGGGCTTTAAAGATTGGTTAAAAAGAAAAAGATGTCACCATCATAGTAATAGAAACAGGCCAATAAATAAATTATGAGGCCAAATAAACTAATTAGAAAAACCTACAGGAGAACTAAATACACTCACAAATGACTTAAAGCTCTAAAGAGTATTCTTAATCAGAGAAAATGTTCCAGTCCACACACAGATTCCTCAAGGCATTGTCAACACCTTAATACTACTGAGTTCAGCCAAATGTAGAAACTTCAGTTTAGGTCTGGTGTCAATTTTGCACACTGCTGAAAGAGGGTGAGGAAAATTCAATTCCAAGTTTTCCACCTGAGCTTTTAAAGTTACTGCAAGGTAAAAGGGGTCACTGGTGCAAAATGAAACTGCAGCTGCTGGAGTTTAACCTATGGTGCTTAATTTACCCTATAATCAAAGTTAATTGCATAAGGAAGTGTTGCCTTTATAAACACTGCAAGTCTAGACAGAGATGATAAAACATTTCCTCTCACTGGCCACTGACCAAAAAGGAGATTCAGTCACTCACCTTGATGTAAGTGTTCTGAATTTCTACCAGTTCTTCCCCAAGCGGAACTACAATTTTTTCCACTTGTCTCTCGTGAGAATAAGGCTGAATTTCTGGAGAATCCTCAGCACACACCTCTATCTGAGCGATCAGCAAGTTGGAGATAACTTGTTGCACAGCCTGGAAAAGCCACAAAAACAAAGTAACTAAGTCCACATTTTAGCAGGGGTTACATAAAATTGTTAGAAAAAGGCACCCACTGCCTAGAAGAAAGGTCAGGAAATAGAATTGCAGACTGGCTTATCACCTTTCTGGGAAAAACCTTTTCCTAATAGCCAACCTATATTCCCCTTAACACAATACAATGACTAGGAAGAGTTTTTTGCATTAAAAAATGAAAGCCAGAACCATGGAAATCAAGGCTGGGAAGCTCAAGATGCCCACTGCCCTAAACATCATCTAAAACACCTCTGGGAAAGGTCTGGGCCTAAAATCAGGTTATGGGTTCAGTCATCAGGGCTGTTACCTCACTGAGGAATAAACTGCAGCTCAGGGGGGCTGCAAACACTTCATAAAAAGATGAATGGAAAGTGACAAGGAAAGCGACAAGGGGAGGAGAATGAGGGGCAGAACAGCTCTAAAATGGGTTATAAGAGCCATTATTCTTTGCCTTAAGCACCACAGAGCGCTCTGTGTGCGCAGACCCGCACGCTGTGACCCACAGGGCTGCACCGCAGCGCTTCACCCTTTATACGGGCGACATGGGGTTTTCAACCAGGGCCAAACCATCAGTCAGCGCTCCGAACACCTCTCACGTTTTATTTCCCCCCACACCGTGGCTTTTCACGCCTGCCAGCAATGGGCAGCAGCCGTACCTGTCATCTCCGCCATGTCCCGGGACGGGATGCCCATGACGCGGCCGCACGCCTCCATCTGCTGAGCCACCAGCGGCTTGGTGGGGGCGAGGAACAGCACCTTGCCCGAGGGGAACCAGCGGTAGAAGTTGTACATGACCACGGCGGCCACGAAAGTCTTGCCCAGCCCGGTGGGCAGGCACACGAGGGTGTTGGCCAGCAGCGCGGCGCCGGCCATGCGCTCCTGGTACGGGCGCACGGGCAGGTTGGTGGGGTAGATCCAGATGGAGCCCGCCGCCTCGCTGAAGCCCTGCGGCGGGCCGGGGTCGGCCGCGGCCGCGGCTGCCAGCAGCAGCTCGTCATCGCTGTCCCCGCCCGCGTCCCTCCGCTCGGCTCTGCCCGCGGGCGCCCGCCACACCTGCGGCAAAGTGCGCTGCCGGCCGCCGCTCATCCTGCCCCGCGCGCCGCCATCTTAGCCCTGCCTCACCGCCACCACCGCCGCCGCTTGAAACCGCCGCCGAGAGGCACGGGAGCCGCCTCCCGGCCCTCCCTCCCTCCCTCCGCCCCCGGCCGTGCCCCGGCCCTCCCCTCGCCCTGAGGCGCCCGCCGAGCCCGCGGCAGATCCCGCTGCTGCCGCCGCCGCTCCCCTCCCTCAGGGCGTGCCCCGCCGGCCCCGAGGCGGCGCCATTTTGTCCCTCCCTCGGCGCCCCTCCCCGAATTCCCGCCGGGAGCTCGGCCAGGCTGAAGGGGACGGTCGGGAAGCCGCCCTCGGAGCCTCCCCTTCTCCCAGCCCGCCCCTCTCCCCGCCTGCCGGGCGGCTCGCAGCCCTCCTCTCCGGAGGAGGAGCGGGAGGCGGGCGGGAAGATGGCGGCGGCCGCGGGCCCGGCGCAGCCCTGGAGCGCTGAGGAGCTGCGGAGCGAGGCGCTGGCCAAGAAGGAGATCATCAAATTCCTGCAGGAGCACGCGGCGCAGGCGGTAATGGCGCGGGATAATCGATCATTTGCAGCCGTCTGGGGGAGCTTTGGGTTTGGTTTTTTGTTGGTTTTATTCCCCCTCAACGCCTCGCGCGTGTCCCGCAGTTCCTGGCGGAGCACAAGCTGCTGGGGCAGGTGAAGAACGTGGCGAAGACGGCGAACAAGGAGCAGCTGATCGCGGCTTACACGCAGCTCTTCAGCACGCAGGTGAGGGCGCGGGGCCGGGGCAGGGCCGGGGCCGGGCTGGGGCAGGGCCGGGGCCGGGGCCGTGCTGGAGCGGGGCTCGGGCCGGGCCAGGGGCAGGGCTGGGTCCGGGCCGGGGCCGTGCATGCCGCTCCTCACCCTTCCCCTCGCAGCGCTTCAAGGGCACGGACGGCGCCGAGAAGGCGGCGGAGAAGGTGAAGCCGGCCAAGGCGGAGGAGGCCAAGGGGAAGGCGGTGAAGGCTGAGGAGGCCGTGGAGGAGGTTGGTGTGATGCTCTCGACTCGGGGTTTTCGCCTGGAAAGCCAGATAATCCGGGTGGCTTGTCTCGGGGTGAGGGTTAGGGGGTGGGGATCAGGGAAAGGCTCTTCCCCAGAGGCTGCTGGCACTGCCCAGGCTCCCCAGGGAATGGGCACGGCCCCGAGGCTGCCAGAGCTCCAGGAGCTGCCAGGGATGCCCAGGGTGGGATTGCTGGGGGTCTCTGCAGGGACAGGATGGTCCTTGTGGGTCCCTTCCAGCTCAGGAGATTGTGTGATCCTAAGTCTTCAAAAACCTGGTTACAAGAAGAAATCTGGTGTTTATACCCCGCCTTAACCTTCAGCTGCATTTTCCCCAAACGTTGCATCCCTGCAGTAGCATGAACACATCATTCACTAACAGTGTCTTCTTTGACGCCTTAAACTCAGTGGTTGTTCAGCCTTGGATATCTGTGACTCTTTAACCCACCACTCTGTTTTTATAACCTTAGGGGCCACCAAAGTACACAAAATCCATTTTAAAGAAGGGCGATAAAACCAACTTCCCAAAGAAGGGAGACACTGTCCACTGCTGGTACACAGGAAAGCTGCAGGATGGGACAGTCTTCGATACCAATATTCAATCAAGTAAGGTTATGGGAACGTAGATGTGCAGATAAACCCTTGGGGTTGGTTGCAAATGCTCCTAGAGGGAATGACCTGGGCTCCTCCAGCGGATGAGGGCAGGGGTTTGCCCCTGGAAGGTGTGTCTGGGAGCATTCCAGACAAACAGCTTTGTCACGGTGGTGCTGAGCTGCCCTGCAGCTCCCGGATCCTGATTTTCCATGAGCTAGCAAGGGCAGTATTTTAGGACTGGCTGGTGTCAAGTGACAGGCTGCATCCTGCCAGTGCTGGCATTCCAGGCCCGGGAATGTGGAATGCAGGGGAGATGGTGCCTAGGGAACTCCAGCACCAGCAGTGTCCTGAATTTCTCTAAATAAACACATCTTGGGACCGTTCTGTGATAAATCTTTACATGTGCAGGCACTGGAATGAGAGGGATTTGAATACTCTGGTGTGCAGTATTCCCAGCTGGAGTTTTTGTGACAGATCAGAGGGTTTGGGGCTATGGAATCGTGCAGTACTGGAAAGGCTTTCCCAGCAGTGATGTCCCACACTCAGGAACAGTATTCCAGAGTCACTGGAATACTGTCTGTAATTCCTCATACTTGTATGTCCCCTGTTGATTTTCTAGGTTCCTTAATAGGTGCATAACTTGTACAGTTAACTTGAGTAATTCAGGAATGAGCTTGTGGGGTTTGAAAGATGCTTTGGTGCAGCTTGAACATTTAATGATGTTTTTAGTGCACAGCATTAATATTTCCCTTGCAAATCTGATATGAGGCTAAAAATAGTATCAGAAGAACAGCTATTTATGTAAAGCATGATTGTGATGGCAGTTTTCTTTTCTACAGAGGTGTGGAGTGTGCTGGTGTGATGTTGAGGCAAATGAACGAAAATCTCTTTTCCAGGTTCAAAGAAGAAAAAAGCAGCCAAGCCCTTGAGTTTCAAAGTTGGTGTAGGAAAAGTGATCCGAGGTGTAAGTAAAGCACTCAGGGCTCCCTGCGCGTCCCCAGGCAGTTCCATTCTGGGGTTTATCTCTGGGGTGGGGTGCTGCTTTTGGGTTCTGCTTCTCCTGGGGGCAGATTGCAAGGGATTGCACCGGGAGGATGGAACATTCATCCTCAGTCATTCCCTCGCCAGGCAGAGCTGGAACACAGGCTCTGTTCCCTGGGATCAGCCCTGTCAGTCTGTCAGTGTCCCACAGCAGCTGAGACTGATGGCATCCCAGGGCTCCATCCATCCCTGTTTGCATTCCCTGGCCTTTACTCTGTGCCAGGCCTGAGCCCCCTTTCCATGGGGAAATTCCTGCTGTGCCCACCCTGAGCTGCCCTGGCCCAGCCTGAGGCCGTTCCCTCTGCTCCTGTCCCTGTTCCCTGGAGCACAGCCCGACCCCCCGGCTGTCCCCTCCTGGCAGGAGCTGTGCAGAGCCACAAGGGCCCCTGAGCCTCCTGTGCTCCAGGCTGGGCAGGAGAAGGTCCTGAGCTGGGAAGGGGCTGTGTCCCAGCACTGCAGGAGCAGCAGTGGCCCAGGTTTATCCCTGTGTTTATCCCGGGTTTCTGGGTGCCAGAGCCTTCCCTCAGTGGGGACAGCACCAATCCCTGGGCACTCCCTGGGAAGGGAACACTGGAGCTGGGAATGCTGATGGGGGATGTGTGTTCCCATTGCTCCCCGGTGTCATCCCAGCACAGGAGCACGGATCTGCTCTGTGGGGCTGGTGTGGGAGCAGGGAACACCCCCCTGGAGTGTTGCACAGGGCTGTGGGCATTCCTGGGAGCCCCAGGAAAAGCTGGGGGTGCAGTGGGAGCAGGGAACACCCCCCTGGAGTGTTGCACAGGGCTGTGGGCATTCCTGGGAGCCCCAGGAAAAGCTGGGGGTGCAGTGGCCGCTGTCCCAGCGCTGGCTGGAGCTACTGTGTCGTTGCAGTGGGATGAGGCCCTGCTGACCATGAGCAAAGGAGAGAAGGCCCAGCTGGAGATCGAGCCCGAGTGGGCCTATGGCAAGAAGGGACAGCCCGATGCCAAGTATCCTTCCAGGACCTCGGACTCCTCAGGGAGCCTGGGAATGCGGGGGGCAAGGAGGCGCTTTATGGACAGGGACACAGGAGAGGGGTTCCCTTGTTACTCACAACAGGCTCAGGACATTCCCACTCAGGGAGTTCAGGGCACTTCCTGGGAGTGCAATTGTCCTGTTCTTTTGGAGAATAACCCATGCAGGGGGAACCTGCTGCTGTTTTCCATCTGCATTTTTATTCCAGCTGCTTGCAAATGCTTCTGCCTGATGGGGATCCTAACCGGCGTAGGGAAACGGGCAGGGACAGAGTTACACTTGCTTCTGGGACACAGCTGAATAGGGGGTGCAGGAGTGAGCCCACAGTGTTTCATGCTGCCCCGTTTATTTTTCCCAACCTTTCTGGAGGAGAGGAAGGGATTGTTCTCCTGCGCTGGAATCCTGTGATCTGAAGGGCTGCCTGCACGCTTGTCCCCTATGACAGTGGGACAGTGTCACCTCCCCAGCCACTGCCCCACACCTGCAGACAGGGCTGGGCCAGCTCAGGGCAGAGAGGCCAGGGTGTGCTGATGAAGGTGTGTCCATGGGGCTGTCCCTGTCTCCCGACAGCTCCTGCTGGGTGGCAGCTGTGGCTGGATCCAGGGTGTCCAGCGGGTCAGGGCCATCCCAGGGACATGGGACAGGCTGGGGAGCAGCTGGGGGCTCCCTGCCCAGGGAGGGGTCACTGCAGGGGCTGTTTCCTTCCTGTTTCCTTAACGTTTGCCAACAGGATCCCACCAAATGCAAAACTCTTCTTTGAAGTGGAGCTGGTGGATATTGAATGAAGAATTCCCTGTGCTGCTGGGAATCCGTTTCTGCCAGAGCTTCCTGCTGGCGTTGCTGTAATCCTGGCTCCGGTTACAGCGGTGCCTTTGTTGAGATGAGTGCTGAGTGTTGTCCCTGCCCCGCTGCTGTAGTGACAGCCCCACCACTAAAGCAGAGTTTGTACCTGCCAGTGCCTCCCTTCTTTGTGTCTGTGCTCCCGCTGCTCCTCTGCTGGGCACTGCAGGGCCCACACCCAGCCAGGGCTCCTTCCCTCCTCTGGAGCCCAATCCCACAGCATTCCCATCCCACATCCCCACAGCATCCCTACAGCATTCCTGCTCCACAGTTCGACAGCATTCCCACCCCACAATCCCACAGCATTCCCACTCCACAGTCCCGTGGCCCCACAACCAGCCAGGGCTCCTTCCCTCCTGCAGAGCCCAGTGCCACAGCAGTGCCACTCTACAACCCCACAGCATTCCTGCCTCACAGTCCCACAGCATTCCCACTCCATTTATTTGACAGCAGCTCTGCTGGCAGAGATCAGGGTGTTGCACAGGTGTTCCCAGGTGTTCCCGTGCCACAGCCCCTCCTCTGAACACCACCAGAGCTCAACTCAGGCATTCTCTTCTCCCTGCTGGCTCGAGTGAGGCAGTCCAAGAAAGCTCAGAGCACTACGGAATTCCTCGCTTTTATTACA